AATGCTCCTAATTACTTGCTTAATTTCAAACAAAAGCTCCTTTCTATTTTCAAAAACAAACACTTACACTTTCAAAACATCTTACAAAACTTGAAAACATTTTCAAAAGATCAACATCTTTATATACATTCTTACAAATAAGAATCATTACAAAGATTGCCTAAACAATGGCCTCTTTACAAAATACTTTCAAAAACCACACTAAGCACAATTTCAAACAAAAGCAAGTGATCTAGCAAGTAACTAAGAGCCCATGGATAACCATGGATGAAAAGGATGCTAATACCTTCCCTTTTCATAATCTATCCCCTGAACTCAAGAAATAATCTCAAAGGTCTTTCCTGTGTTTTTTCACCTTTCCTTTATGATAAAAGAAAAGTCGGCGGCGACTCTTGCTAACCGCAACATTTACGATCAAACGCAAAACCTTCAAGTCAGTTCTCCCACTGTATCACAATGAGTATTTGAGAAAAGCCCATTAGTTTAGTATGTTAGGTTTATTATAAGTAGCATACTAGTCTCTCATCATTGCATATTGCAAATCCTTATTAGGGTGAGAGAGGTTAATTGTTATTATTCACTTGTAATCATTGTAACCCTAATAAGTAAGGGAATAGAAAAACAAGTTTAACCAATTCATTGTGTTCTTATTATTTTTCCATCTTTTCTACCCTAGTGAGTTTCTTGCCGATAAAGAAACCGATAATACTCTGTTATTGACATCATTGTTCACAACAAATTGGTGCGGTGAGCATGGACAAGATGCCTTCAATAAAGCATGGGATTGAAAAGTTCACTGGAGTGAACGATTTTGGTCTGTGGTGCTTGAAGAAGAAATCCCTACTAGTCCAGCAGTGTTGTTTGGAAGCGTTGAAGGGAGTGACAACCATGGATGTTGTGTTAACGGAAAAAGAAACGACGACCATGATAGAGAAAGCCCACAACGCAATCTTGTTGAGCCTTGGTGATAAGGTTCTTCGATAGGTATCAAAGGAGACAATGACATTAGGGTTATGGGTAAAACTTAAAAGTTTGTACATGACCAAATCGTTGGTAAATCGAATCTACATGAAGCATGCTTTGTATTCATTTAAGATGATTGAAGACAAAGTATTGGCTGAGAAGTTGGATATGTTTAACAAGTTGATTCTTGATCTTGAAAATATTAATGTGAAGATCGATGATGAAGATTAAGCGTTGTTGCTGTTGTGCGCTTTACCCAGACACATGCTCACTTCAAAGAAACCCTCTTGTATGGAAACGAGTCCCTGACCTTCGAAGAAGTTCAATCAACCTTGTATTCTAAGGACTTGAACAAACGAAAGGACCATAAACCTTATACGATTAGTGAAGCTTTAGCTATTAAGGGAGAATTCTTGTGAAAGGATGGTAAGTTCGACAAGAAGAAAGGAAAAAGTCAGCAAAAGTCTTATAGTGGCGAGACATCTGGTATTCAATGCTATCATTGTAAGAAGGAGGGTCATATAAGAAAGGTGTACCCTGAACTCCTGAAAGATCACGGAGGTAAGGATAATGGCAATGCAACCATTATTCAAGATGATTTCGACTCATTTAATGTTCTTGTGGTTTCAAGAAGCGACTCGAGTAAGGAGTGGATTATGGATTCACGTTGCACTTGGCACATGACTCCAAACAAATACTTGTTAGAGTAACTATATGATTAAGATGATGAATCTATATTGTTGGGAACCAACAAAGCTTACAAGATTACAGGTGTTGGATCTGTAAGATTCAAACTCCATGATGAGTCAATAAAGTTTTTGACCGAAGTCAGGTATGTGCCTGATTTGAAGAGAAATTTGACTTCTCTTGGTGAATTCGACAAGAAAGGATATGCTTTCTAATGAGAGAGAAGTATCCTAAGAGTTATGAAGGGATCGAAGGAAGTATTGAGAGGCATGAAGATACAAGGCTTGTATACCCTTGAGGCTGAAGTTGTAAGTGGTTCGATAAATGTTGCATCCAGGAAATCTTTGTCGAAGACATAACTTTGGCACATGAGATTGGGCCATGTCAGTGAAAGGAGTCTGGTCGAATTGGGAAAATAAAATTTTCTTGGTGGAGACAAAGTTGAAAAGATGAAGTTTCGTGAACCATGTGTACTTAGAAAATCTTGCAGAGTGAAATTCGATAAAGTTAAACAATGAACACATGGATCCCTTGATTACATCCATGTTGATCTTTAGGGGCCTGCAAGGTGTCAATCACATTCAGGATCAAGGTGTTTTCTATATATAGTAGATGATTATTTTAGAAAGTTATGGGTATTCATCCAGAAGACTAAGGATGAAATTTTTGAGAATTTCAAAATTTGGAAGACGCTGGTCAAAAATCAAACTGGCATAAAGGTCAAGAGGTTGAGAACCGACAATGGCCTTGAATTTTGTAATGAGGCTTTCGACAACTTTTGTGTTTCCTCTGGTATTTCAAGACACATAACTAATGCAAGTACTCTACAACAAGATGGTTTGGCTGAAAGGTTTAATCAAACTATTTTGGAGAGAGTTAGATGCATGACGACTAGTGCTAGATTAAATAAGTTGTTTTGGGCTGAGGCTGTTTTGACAATAACATATCTGATAAATAGATGTCCTTCAAATGCATAAGATATGAAGACACCTGAAGAAGTTTGGTCGGGACATTCACCAGATCTCGACAAATTGAGAGTATTTGGATGCATAGCCTATGCTCACATTAGGCAAGACAAATTTGAACCTAGAGCTCTGAAATGTAGTTCATGAGATACCTTGATGGAGTCAAAGCTTATAGGCTATGGTGCCTAGATCTAGGTCACAGAAGATGTATCACCAATCGAGATATAGTTTTCAATGAAGCTGAAATGGACTTCAAGGAAACTAATGTTGTTGGTCGAAGTGCAGAAATATTTGACGAAGTGCTTGAATGGGGAGAGATTCTTGTTGAGGTGGAGCATGTTAATGCCTAATTGCGTATCCCAGATGAAAATGAAGAAGTAGAAAAAGATGTCGAGGAAGTTGAGGAAATTGTCGATGATTATCTATTGGTAAGAGATTGGTCAAGAAGAGTCATCAAGGCACCTCAGAGACTTGGATATGCAAATTTTATAACTTATGCCTTAGTCTCTGCAAGTGAGGTTAGACAGAGAACCTAAAGACCATAAAGAAGTTATGAGGAGTCAAAATAAGTCTGAATGGATGAAGGTCGTGGATGATGAGATGAAATCTCTTCATGATAACAACACTTGGGAATTGATCAAGAAACCTACTGGAGTCAGGTTAGTCAGCTGTAAGTGGATTTTTAAAGTTAAGGAAGGAATCGAAGGAGTGGCGTCAAAAAGATACAAGGAAAGGTTGGTCACAAGGAGTTTCACTCAGAAAGAAGGTGTTCATTTTAATGATGTGTTCTCTCCTGTTGTGAAGCACGGGTCCATTCAAATGTTGCTTGTCATGGTGGAATAATTCAACCTTGAATTGGAACAAATGGATGTGAAGATTGTGTTCTTGTATCGTGATCTAGATGAAACAATCTTGATGAGGCAAACCTGAAGGATATGTAGAAAAGGGGAAGGAAGATTATGTGTGCAAACTGAAGAGATCTTTATATGAACTTAAACAATTCATTGTGTTCTTATTTTTTTTTTCATTTTTTCTATCCTTGTGAGTTTCTTGCCGATAAAAAAATATATAATACTTTGTTCTTGGCATCATTTTTCACAACAATACCATTAATTTAAAAAAATTTAATCTAACTTAACAGAATATATGATTGTCATTGATTGACAATATAAGATTAACTTACACTATCACCGTATCATCCTTTTTATCAAATCTACTAAATAACTTTATTAAAAATATAAGCATTTTTTTTTTAAATTCGCCATCCAGTAAACAGAAGAAGTTTTTTCAAAAGACAAAAAAAAAAACTGTTCATCAATTCCTCTTTGCATCTTATATTACCAATTATCTGTACTTTTATTTTCAAAGCCATAATATTTTTTATTCAAACTTTGTACTGGTTGCAGATTTGAAACACACAAAAAATTGACCAAATCACATTCTCAAAACTGTTCAACAACCCCTTCCTTCTCTCTTCATAGGAAGCTTGGTCACGATTACGAAACGAGATTTATCTCTGGCTGACGTTGAAAAAGGGGCATTCGGAGCATAGAACTCGGGACCTCTCGGCACCTAAAACGAAAATCATACCACTAGATCAAATGCCCTAAGAAAATAATTCATTAACAGATAAATTAATTTGTTGTTGGATACAGTGTTGTATTATACAACTTGCATATTGTATTAACTTTTTAATTCGAATATCACTTTTCTTATTTATTTATTTTTAAATTGTGAATGTTTTCACTGAAAAATCTTAAATTTTAAGCAGTGTTTGTTTCAAGTTTAGAATTCAGAAATACATGAATAAAAGATGAATATAAATGAACAATTTGTTTTTGAAGATAACTGGAAAATTGGCATGAAGAAAAAGTGTGTTTTGTATTATTTTTCTGATGGCGAATATGCTGTGTTTTCAAGATGTTCGTTTAAAAAGTTTCTTCCTGTTTGATTTGCATTGCAATCTATGCAAGACCTTTTGCTCAATTCTTGCCTGCGCCTTGTGTGTTTTCATCTGGAGCTTATTAATATGTTTTGAAGAAAAATACATCACTACCAGGACTCCATGTAGTTGGGATTTAAACCCAAGCTTATGTAGGGCTCCTCCAACGACAAAACAAATCATCTTGAGCCATTTGATAGTTAAAATATACTTAACTATGAATATTACCAATTAAACAAGTTTAACATTCACTTTCATCTACAAAAAAGCATAGTACTGTCTCTAAATTTTCTAGACGACAAATTCAACTGGCAGCAGAGAAACAAAACCAAAAACCTGTCTAAAAAATTATATCCGGTTAGCAAATGTTGCTCCCTGACTAAACAGTTTAAAACTATTACAGTTAAACAAGGCTTCTTGATGAAACACTCCACTTCGGCACATCATTCCTTGCTAAGATAATGTTGCGGTATTGCACCGGGATCAAGTTCCCAGAAGCCTCTCAGATTGTTGCCATGTTCTTCTGTAAGTTTGAAAGCAGGTATCTTGTGGGAGAATTTGAGCAGCTCATCCTTTGAGATCGTCATGGTCATCGTTGATCCTCCGCTATTTAACTTGCCCTTAAAAACTGAACTGTAACCACTCACCTTCTCTAGAAACAAAACATCTGTCCACATATCACCGTCTTCAATAATTTCCACTATGTCGTACTTCCAGTTTTTCAAATCAGAACGTTTGATTTTAGTCGTCCAGTTCCTATATAATGCCCAAACTTCACCCTTCCGCGGAAAAATTTCATAGTCGTTGTTCGTTCCAACAGAACTAGCATGCACCTGATGTGAAATAGAATTGGTGTTGCTGTAAGTGCATAGCTTGGCATTTGGCTTGATTTTAAATCTTCCACAAGAAATGATCATATCTTTGTCATCCCATTTAATAACTTTCTTAGGTAGCCAGCAGTCAGTAAGATAAAATACTTCCAACTCAATTTTTGGGCCAATCCTCCTAACCCCTTTAATCTGGCCGTAGTATTTTGGAAGTTCATCCTCGTCACCATAAAATGCCCAAATCTGGCCAGCCTCAAACTTTTCATGGGACCTCTCAGCATCAAATTGGTAGAACGAAGGGTCTGGAACTTCAAAAGAATCTGGGACCAAAGCTGATGGAGCACTAACATCACCAATATGATCAACAGGACCCTTCTCCTCTACTGAATTGCTTCTTTCCAAATTCACCTTGGTAGAAGATACAACGTTCACTTCTAAATCATCAGGACCGCTAATCTCTTCTATCGGCAAGGATATAGGATCGAGTTCATAAGATCCTTCAGGAACGCCTGCTCTTTCCTGACCAGTCATTTTAAAAGATGGAATTCTATGAGAGAATCTGAACAACTCAGCTGGTGATATTTGAAATGGTTGGTTAGCTCCATTCGTAATTCGAGAGAAGAGGCTCACATAACCTTTCAACTTAGCCAAGTATGCAACAATTACTCCTGCACCTTCAACATAATCCGACAAGATCTCAACATATTCCAAATCATACTTCTGATGAGATTCAGCATCCATATACCATTTAATATCCCAATTCTTAAAAAGAGCCCAAGTTTCTCCTTTCCTAGGATACACTTTAAAAGTAGAGCGGTTAATCCTTTCCCAGAAAGTCAGGTGAGAGAACATCGGTTGTTCTTTAACGGTTGCAGTCTTACCAAGTTTATATTTCCCACAGGCACTTGGCAGTTTCTCCTCAATCCACCTGTGTTCATCTTCGTCATCAGGATCTGCCTCAAGCCAAGTTATCTGCAACTTGAATCCAGGAGAAAAAACTTTTTTGATTAGAGCATAGAATCTAGGCATGCCATCTGTATCATCATAAACAGCCCAAATCTGCCCGGGAGTGAAACATCCCTCTTTCTTGTCTTTGTCAAAGTCACTGAACTCTGGATCGGGATAAACAAAACCATCTGAATGATTTGATGATTTGGAGTCTGAATGCTCTGAAACTTCATCTATCTTTGAGCTGCCCGCTGTTTCTTTTCCTCCCACCTCCTTAGTTTTCACATCTATATTTTTTAAGCTCTCTTCAGAATAAATTTTTTGCTTCTGCTGCTTTACCCCTTTCAAATCATCTTTCAGACCAGCAGCCAAACCATTCTGATCATTCGTTTCAGTTTCCTCCCGATTATTTTCGTGATCACTATGAGGTGAAACACTTTCCTTACCCTGTTTTGAAGGTTCCAACTCACCATCATCGTCACTTACATTCTCGTTGTACGAAACCTGGTGCTTTTGCCGCGTAGATCTACGTGGACGCTCTTCTGTAGAAGTCGAAACACCAGGAAAACCGTTGTTAGAAAATAAATCATCTTCAGATTCAGAATCAGTGCTGCCTATAGACTCAGAACTTTCACTGGAATGTACTACATGCTTTCTCTTTCTCTTTCCAATTGGCTTTGCAGAGACATTTGAAGTAGAGCCTTTCTTATGATGAGACTCTTTATTGGACCTCTGAGCATGCAAACCACCTTGAGATCCAACATCAACCTTAAAAGCAACATGATTCGGAGTATTGTTCTGATGGCCAAAAGCTTTCCGACTTGAATTAGTTGCTGTAGTTGCTGGTTTTGTACCATGCGGATCCACCTCATATGCAACAAAGGGCTTGCTGCAACGTTGACAGCGAAGAGATCTATTTAAAACTACCCGGTAATACTCAAACTTCACTGAACAAAATGAGCACATAGTCCAAAAAGTAGGACCCCCACCACCATTAAGCCCCTGCTGAGTTGGCTGCTTAGACTGCTGCTGTTGCAGCGGCTGCGATTGCGGTGGCTGCGGTTGCGGCTGCTGAGGATTTATGTTTGTGAAAATGGGCCGGAAATTAGTTTGCATTACAGGATTAAAATTCACTGGAACACTCCGTTGATGAGATGGCATGGCAGTTCTGCTCATTGAAAACTTGCTCAAGCTCATGTTAAGTAATAACCGTTTTTCTCTATCCAAAAGAACTCTTTGAGCTTCTCCAATCAGCTTAAATGCAGCTTCTGCACCAGCAAACTTGTTTTTGTCAGGATGGAGTTGGAGAGCAAACTTCTTGTACTGCTTCTTAATTATCGCATCATTTTCATTACGATCAATTTGTAAAACTTTATACCAGTCCACCACGTTTGTATTACCCAGTAATTTTTGCTCGGCAGAGCAATGCACATCACAAACAACAAGCATTTGAGCGATATTCTCCAGATCGGGATATAGTCTCTGAGCCTTATTGACAAATGTACGAGCCCCTATGAAATCTTTGCTTTCCATTTTCTTTTCAGCAATATCCTTGGCCCTTAAGGCCTCTTCTTTATTGCAGTCCATCAAAAGTCCAAATTTCAAAGCCTGACGAGTGATGACAGCAAGCTCTATAGCCAACAAAGCATAAATCCCCTCCAATAACTACAGCCCTCGCATTCAGATTGACCCTGCAGTTTATGTATAACTTAGAAATATTAGATCCCACATCAACCAAAAACTCTTCAAAAAAGGAAGGAGCTGTTGATATTGCAAACAGAATTCTAAACATATAATATATTTTATGAATCAGTATTTTGCCGACCACCACAAGTAGAACTAGATATGCAGTAAGAGTTTCACCCACAGAAAAAAAAAAAAAAAAGAGATTAGCAGTAAGATATTTTTCATATCTTATTAAAGGAGGGATGTCTGAATTAATCAGCCGAATTAATCAGACATAAAACAAGGAGAATATTTACAAAAAAGAAGAATTACCAAAATATGCTATTTTCTTCCGCTTTTAACTGAACTACATTTCTTGTTTGTTTTGGGGCCAATCTACCCCAGGCCACAAAGATGCAGAGTAAAAGTACACAAAATGAACACAAATGTAAGGGAGAGAAATGATCACATCTAACATCAATAAAGTGTATGGATGATAATGGTTATATCCACCGCCCGGGGTTTGTTAATCCGAAAATAATCAAAACACTTTGCTCAATAGGCTTTAGTTTGACTCACAATTTCTCACTGCCAATAATGTCCTTGATAGGCGAACTGCAGGTGTAAGCCCTCAGTCAGGCTTACAATATACCCACTTTCTATGGCTAAACTTTTCAACTAAAAAGATTAAACGAAAGGAAAAAAAATTAAGACTGTGTCTGATCTCTTTTGTTTCCCTTCTTTTCTCTGTTCCCCCCTCTCTTAAGCGTGATTGCTATGTCTAGTCTAAAACTGCCATCCCCACATTTGATTCAAATCAAAATCGGGCATACTGCAAATCTTTTAAAGTCTTTCTGCTTAATCAAAATTCAACATTGAAACATCTACATTTCTCTACCAGAGTAATTATAATAGCCAGTTTAAATTTAATAATCAAGAATAGTTCAATTTTTCACGTACAAAAACAAGAAGCAATTAGGTAGGGGTGGCTTTCAGCAAAGAAATTGGGTGAGGCGGGGTGCCGCATATGACACGGCAGGCATAAAACTTGAATCTTAATACGCCGCCGATTCAGACATAAAAAAGGAAATAACATGTGCTTGTGAGAGAGGAAAACAAGCAAAAATATCGAGAGAAAATTAAAAACAAGCAGACACCGACGTTCAACGAGAGATTTACGTGTGTGAAAAGTGAAAACATGCTTTTTAAATTGTCTAATTTAATGTAGATCTCATCCCTCTCGTATATAGATATAAAAACAATGAACACCTTTTAAATAGAGGAATTAAATGTTGATCGTTTATTATGATCAAACAGTTAATATTATCAATTGATATGCCCCGGGCACGTGTGTGTATGTATATATACATATATGAGTATAATAAGTATTGCCTCGAAGCTTAAAAATTTGTAGATCCAGTGAATATAACATAAAAGAAACAGCTCAACAAGTCTTAACAGATAAAAATCAATACCTACCCACTATCACAAATCAAGAAAAAGAATAGAAGCAACAGAGTTCAAAAATTAATGTCAACATAAATAGTGAAGAAACATACTATGCCAATGACACCATTTTTCATACAATTCCAGCACAAGACCGAAGAAGCAATGTTCAAGTTCCAAGACCTGAAAAGGGGAAAAATGAAGTCACATGCAAAACCCTAATCAATTGAGAAATCCAGAAACCATCAACAGATAAGACAATAATCTAATTAATACTGACAAGACTATAAAGAAATTAATGAACTGCATAAAAACTAAGTAAAACACTAAATCATCAACGAATCAAACGGGAAAGTTCAATAAATTTGAAGATGTGAAAATGAATAAAACCCTAAAATTCGGTAACGGTGAAAAATGAAATGAGTAAAAGATGAAAAAGGGTTGAAAAAAGAAAGGGGTTTGAATTTGAAGAAACCTGTGGTAGGGTTTGGAATTGATGAAAGAAGAATCGAAGAACGAAATGAAGAAGGAGAAAGAAAAACCTGCGAGTGTGTTGTGAGAGTTGAAAAAACACCTTCTTCTCAATAGTACTAGTACCATTTTGTTGTTACTATATTGCCATTCTGATTCTTCATTTTTTATGTTGTTTTCGTTGTAATTTTTTCCAACTTTGAGGGTTTATTGTCTGAACTTGATCATTACTTTTTCAATATATTATTTTGATCTAATGGTTTATAATTTTTTTAATTTTTTATTCTTAATTATAATTTTTAATCTTAAAAAAATATTATTTAATCTTGATTGTTCGGCATGATATATTTGATAATAATCTTTTTATTTCAAATTTATAAATTATTTTATTATTTTATAATTTATTTTTAAAATATTATTTAAATAGTATTTTATTTTATAATTTATAATTTATCGTTTATCCTTTCACTTTTATCTTTATTATTTTAACAAAATTCCACTTTTATCCTCTCATTCGTTCCGAAATTTATGGAGAAATTTTACTTTGATTGAGTTGAGGTTCAGATTTGAGTTTTTCTCGATTATAAAATATGAGGATGGGTCGGATAATGGGACATACCATTGGTGTAAATAAATATTTTGTTTCGTTTATCAATGAGTTTAGTCGAAAGTTGTGGATCTATGTGATCAAGAGAAAAGACGAAGTATTCAAAATTTTTAAGAGATTAAAGATGTTTGTAAAAACCCAGAGTGAGAAGAGGGTCAGAGTTTAGCGAACAGATGGAGGTGGCGAATACACATCCAAGATGTTTGAAAATTTATGTGCAGAACATGGTGTCGATCATGAGGTAATTGTTCCTTGTACGCCTCAACATAATGGAATTGCTGAAAGAAGAAACAGAACCATATTGGATATGGTGAGATCCATGCTAAAGTAGAAGAATTTACCAAAATCTTTATGGGGCGAAGCTGTTTCGACTGTAGTTTATATTTTGAACAGGTTCCCTACCAAGATATTTGAAGAACAAGGTTCATGAAGAAGTATGGAGTGGCAAACGACCATCAATGAGGCATTTGAAGGTGTTTGGTTATATGTGTTACAGGCATGTTTCTGATGCGAGAATAAGGAAGCTTGATGACAAGAGTGAACCTATGATTCTGGTAGGATATCATAAAACTGGTGCATACAAGCTATTCAATCCAGTTAATGAGAAGATTGTGTTGAGTCGAGACTTTATGATTGATAAAAATGTTGCCTGAGATTGGAATTTTAATGATGCAACTAACAATCCATTGATGAGCTATGTTTTTGATGAAGTAACCGATGAAGTCGAAGTCAAAGAAATTAATAATATTTCAATTAAAGTCGAAGCAGTTGCTGACATTCCATAAATAGTCAAAGTCGAAGAGGTTGTGGTTAAAACAAGCCAAACACCTCAAATAAATAGAGGTCTTCCAACAAAACTCCATGGTTATAAAGCGGCGGGTGATGGTGAAGTCACACCAGATGAAGAATTAGTTCATTTTGCTTACTTGCAAATGTTGAACCAATCAACCATAATAAAGCTTTGAAGATTAAATAGTGGATGTTAGCTATGGTTGAAGAGTTACAGGAAATCGAAAGAAACAATATATAGGAGTTAGTCAAATTGCCAACACATGCAAAAGCTATCAAAGTGAAATAGGTGTTCAAGTTGAAACACAATGTTGATGGGTCGATAGTAAGACATAAAGTAAGATTAGTAGCTCGAGGGTTTCTTTGACGAGAAGGACTTGACTACTCTAAAGTATTTGCTCCAATAGCAAAGATTGGAGATTGTTCGACTAGTGGTAGCATTGACATATGCAACCAAGGTTGGTCGACATTTCATTTAGATGTGAAATCAGCATTTTGGAATGGTCCTTTAGACGAATAGGGATATGTCACACAACTGCCAGGGTTTGTGATTCAGAAGGAAGTGAGTAAAGTATATAAGTTGCTCAAAGCGCTCTCTGGCCTCAAGCAGACACATAGAGCATGGAACATGAAGATCAACTCATACTTAGTCGAATTGGGATTTGTCAAAGGAAAATTAGAGTATGGTGTCTATGTTCAAGTTGTAACACAAGATACAACAATCATCTGCTTATATATCGATGACTTGGTGGTAACCGCAAATAGCTTGGAGAACTTGCTAAAGTTCAAAGAGTTGATGATGAGATGATTTGAAATGTCGAATATGGGAAAATTGTCCTATTTCCTAGGCATGGAGTTTCAAATGTTGAAGCAAGATATGGTGCTACATCAAAGGAAGTATGTCAAAGAGATACTCAAGAGATTTAGAATGGATGATTCAAATCTTGCATCTTCACTTGTCGAACCAAATGTGAAGTTGAAGAAAAATGAATATGAAGACAAAGTCGATGTAACTTTGTTCAAGCAAATAGTGGGATCTCTGAGGTATGTGTGTAACAGTCAACCTGATATAGGTTGTGTTGTCGGATTAGTAAACAAATATATGAGTGAACCAAGAGTGTCATATATGAAGGTTGTAAGAAGAATCCTGAGATATTTGAAGGGTTCGATAAAGTGTGGAATACTATTTCGACGAGACTCTGAAAGAAAAGAAGCAACACTTACTTGTTTTTCAGATGTTAATTGGTGTGGAGATAAGGAAGATATAAGGAGCACAACTGAATATTTCTTTCAAGTATTTGGTGCCCCAATCTCATGGTGTTTGAAGAAGCAGCTTGTGGTGGCATTATCATCGTGTGAAGCATAATATATAGTGTCAAGCAATTTGGATCAGATCTGTACTTGAAGAAATGAAGGTCGAAGTAAAGAAATATCTTGTGTTGCAAATCGACAACAAGTCAATCATAAGTCTGGCGAAGAATCCAGTTCTTCATGGAAGAAGTAAGCATATTGAAACTAGATTTCACTTCCTAAGGGAAAGGTAAATCGAAGTGAAATTGAAATGAGACATTGTTCAAGTGAAGCATAGTTGGCTGACATTTTCACCAAAGAATTGAAGATCCACATATTTCTGAATTTGAGAAGGAAATTAAAAATAGTTCAGATCGACTATGATTAACATAGGTTCGACAACTTGAATTAAGGGGGGGTGTTGAAATATTAGATTAGATTTGATTATATTTAATATTTAAATATAATATAAATTGTGTTAGCCTAAATCCAATTAGGATTGTATATAAATATATCAAATTCTTATTTGTAATAAGTGAATAATATAATCTTTACTTCCTTTATTATTTTTTCTTTTTCTCCTCGCTAAAAATGTCTCACGTAATAATATTACAATCTACCATAATATTTTCTATGAGATTTATTTGTGTAAGAAAAGATACATTGACAAAAGTGATTTTCAGAGACGTTATATTATTTTGATAAACGTATTGACAATTGTTTTTGTATGTTATTTACTTCATTGTGCTGAATCCACTTCTACAAGAATGTGAGGTTCAAATGTAAGAAGATAAATGTTTTTTTACGAGTTATCATCACACGAAATCCGAGAATAAATTGCATACATTGATTTAATATCCAAATGCCACATTTATTTTGCCAAATGCTATTGGATCATTATCTATTTGCTCAAGATTTTGTCACCTGCCTATAATTGCCATTCTTGTATTAAGTTCTTTGTAAGATATGGCAAATCTCATGTAAGAATATTGTGTATCCAAAAGAAAAAATTCAATTGGTCAAAAAATTTGATTCCTTATATGAAAAATATGTTCAAGCATGAATAGATTGAGTTATACATTTAGAGAGTAAAATAATTAGTAGCCTTACCTTTATATCATCATGAGATTCTTACATCCTTAGATGCATTTTTTATCGAAGAGTATGTTGAACTACGGTTTTAAAGAACTTATTTGACTTAATACTATCAATTAATATCGATAGTCTTACTTATGATTATATTCTTAGATACTTGCATGGTTTAACACGTGCATATAAGGTTTTTAGGTTCACCCAAAATTACAACTCCATTTTTATTGAGAAAAATCATTTTCAACCAAAGCTAGTGTAAACCCTTTATAATATACATTAGTAAAATATACTATATATAGTATTAATTGGTATTAATTTAATAAAAGGGTTTAACGACATCATTATATATACATATATGTCCAAAATCAAATATACGACTATGGTATATGATATATAATAGTATCTAATAAAAAACTAAGATTTATGTACAATATCTACAATTGCACATAACCCATAACACAAGATCACGATCACAAAAGTCTTTGAAACATCATCAACAAGTTTTCTCTTGGCTTTAACCTACAAAGAAACACCTGAAAAACAACAATGATATTGGGGTGAGATAAGAATCTCAATGAGTTCCCATATCTTATGGGTCCACTCGACTCTAAAGGAATCTCTTATCGATTTCTTAACTTTACTCTTTCAATTTGTCCTACCCGTGTACACTTACACAGTAGAACAAAGACTTAAGTGTATAAAGGGATTACATGTTTCGTATGAAAAACATGCAACCTAAGTTAACATAAATCAATAAATCACGATTCAGGAATGCAACAACAAAGTATCTTTCCTATATCGGTCCCATGTCTAAGACTGTGGGCATGGGTCACGAATCTATGTTACCTTGAACAACTTTTCTCGGTTGATCCAACTTCACGTACTATGGATACGGGTCACGGATGTCCGCTTAATAAGGAATGTTTTCCCTGTCCGATCCCAATACAAGGACTATGGACACAAGTCACAAACTTCATATAGCTGGAATATTTTCCTTGTCCGTCTGAATCCACAGACTATGGACAGGAGTCACGGTATCCACCAAATAATCATTTGTCTTCCCAAACCTAGTCACCTATTTATATGAGTCTATAACTCTGGATACATACGATTATGGGTTATTAAATAATACATGATTAGGTTTCACACATCAACATATGATTATATCACAATCATCATGGGATTATATAAACTGGATACTTTCCACGGCCGATCTAAATTTGTGGACTATGGACACGGGTACGATATCCATCCCAATCACTATGTAATTATCTCACACCCATAATATATCATGTTTCAATACGATCTAGTTCAATTTATAATTGGATCATCGTTAACCATCCATGCCATC